CGCGTGCAGGTGGCTGCTGGACAGGGGTAGCTGCGGGGAGCGGGGAGGGGGGCTGGGTGAGTGCCCGGCCTTCCGCGGGCAGCCCCTTCCAGGGCCCATTGTCCCAGGAGCAGCCATTCCCAGGATCACAGCAAGTTAACCTGAAAGTCTGCAGAGTCCAGAGCTGGCCCAGGAGGCCAGCCCTGCCCTCAAGGAGCCACCAAGCAGAGTGGTGAGAGACAGTGGTCACACCAGTGATAAGCACAGCGATAGGGCTAGGCCTCGGCCTCGGCACTGGGAGCCTAGGGAGGGGCAGCTCCTCGCTCAGCCTCGGAAGATTCCTTGGAGCAGTAGAACTCAGCTGAGTCCTGAGCAGAGAGGAAAGGCAGCCCGGCGGCTGGCCAGAGGTGGCTGTTCTGAGCAGCGTGAGTCCCCAGTGTCCCTGTGATGCGGGCAGGGACAGACACACAGCTAGATCCGGGATCCTGAAGTGTCGCACTTTGACTTGCAAAGACACTGGGGTTTTGGAGTGAGTGGTCAGTGGTGGATTATATATTTTTTAATAAATATATGTTTTCTCTCTCTCTCACCGGAGAGATAGGAAGAGAGGGGAACGTGAAAAAGCACCCCTCGTGGGAGATGGCCACACCGCAGTGCTTCCCCCACTGCTAGCTCCTCTCGGGATTGTATCCAGCATGTTCTTCTAGCGGCCCAGGCTGGGGACTCGAACAGTACAGGCAGCTGTGTGGGATCCCATGCAGTGGGCCGTGGGCCGGCCAGCCACTGGAGGTTTCGGCAAGGGTCTGACAGGGACAGAGCTGCACTCTGCGAGACCTCCCCGACTCCCGCTGCAGAGTGCAGCCTGGCCGCACAGCGAGTCCAAGAACCACGAAAGCCACCAACGCCCGCCCCTCCCTCCCGCCGCCCTCTCAGCTGTCATGCCCCTGAGCTACAGGGTGGGACCTAACTGGTCCTGGCCAGCTCCTGTGGGATGGAGGACTGACTCCTCCACTCCCCACCGCAGGAATTGGGGACTGCACCTCAGTGGCAAGGGTTGGGCCAGGATCAGGGTAACAGGCCCAGGTCCAAGGAGCAGAAGTAAGCAGCTGAGGCCCAGAGCCACCCCCAAAGCAGGGAGGACCCACGATCCCACTTGTCTGCGGAAACACTTGTCACCCTCGTGCAGTCACCCTGGATATCTTCCTCCTCTCTTCTCCCCACAATCCTGTGGGTAGGTGGCACCACCCCATTTTTCAGCAGAGAAACCGGGGTTCAGAATGGTTGGGGGACTTTCCAAGGTCATAACAAAAATCAGAAGCCAGGCTAGATTCCAAGTCCAGCTCCTCCCAACCTGCCGTCTCACCTCTGCCCAGAAAACCCAGCACAGACACCCTGGCAGGAGCTGGCAGGGGACACGCCGGCCCACAGCCCTCGCACCATGGAGGGAAGGACACTGGCCTTTGCTGGACCCTGGGCTTGTAAAGGAGAGGAGCACCAGGGCCGGCAAGTGGTGTGGTGGTTAAAGTGCTGGACTCCCACATGGCCGACTGCGGTTCGAGTCCCAGACCTGGTAGCTTTCTTTCTCACTTTTTCTCTCTCCTTCTGTCTCCCTCCATCTCCCGTCCCCTCTCCCTCTCTGGTCAAAGGAAAATAAGTGATTAAATAAAGTTCAATTAAATAATTCAGAGAGAGAGAGAGAGGAGCGCCAGACCCTCCAGGCCTGCTGTGGACTCACTGCACCCCACGTCCCCCAGGAAGCCTCCCAGAGCTGCCCCAGCCCTTCTCTCCTCTCTGAAGCCCCACCACACATGAAGGCCAAGGCATGTCCCCTTGATCCATAACACTGCTTGGCCCTGGACCCTCGCCACACTGCTTCACGGAGACGCCTCTCTACAGGAAGACGCCGGCTCTCGCTGGGCAGGACCCATCTCTGGCTCTCTCCAGGCTCGGCCACTGCGGCCCCGTGCCCCCTCCACCTCACACACCGCCCTGCCCGGCCAGGACTACCGTGTTGGGCATCTGCATTTCCGGGTTGATGTAGCCCAGGACGTCGTCCAGGCGCATGATGTTGTCAATGACGTCATCGAACTGGAAGAGAGCAAAGTGTCTGCGGGGCCTGGGGGACACCAGGCAGGCCCGGGCACAGCCACCAACCTGGTGGGCCATGGGGCCCTCACCCACCCTGCTCATCTCAGAGAGGACGACGCAGACCAGTGGCGAGATGGGCTGTGCAGGGGCCCCCGCAAAGGCCCCGAGGCCAGGCCTCCCCAGGGGCCTACTTGCCCTGGGAGCTCCCTGAGACAGCACCCGCCGGGGGCTTTGCACCTGTGCAGGCCTTTCCCAGGGGGGCCTTCTGTTGCTCCCTAGGGCAGTTTTCTAAAGTTGGGGTGGTGTTTCCCTGTGACACCAGGGCTCCCTGGGACCAGGCCATGCCCACCCCTCAGACTGGGCTCCCTGCGAGTAGGCCATGTTTCCCCCTCACACGAGGGCTTCCTGAGGGCAGAGGTGTCTGTCCTTCAGGCTGGGGCTCCCCGAGGACAGGGCTGTGTCCCTCTGTAGATGGGCTTCCCGCCTCTGTGGCTGGGCCAGGAATCTCAGGGGTGTGGCGTGGGGCACCAGGTCCTCACTCACCTCCCTCTCAGGGTTGGAGCTGATGTGCAGCATGGCCATGGGGCTGTTGGGAGCACTGTTGCCAGCGGAGGAGGACAGCACATGTCCAGCTCGCACCCCTGGGGAGGCCGCGGGCGGGGGCTTCGGGGAGCCCTGGGCAGGGCTGAGGCGGGCGGCAAACTTGTTCCCGTAGGTCTCGGACAGGTACTCCCGCACCTTCTGGTGCTGGGACTGCTGCAGGTGGTAGGAGGTGGGGTTCTCCAGGTAGGACTGCACCTGGCGGGGAAGAGGCAAGGGCTCTAGCGGGGTTGGGACCAGGGTGGGGACAGGCGGAGCAGGCCCTACCTTCAGCACTTCCCCGGGCACAGGTGGCGGCGACTGGAAGTGCACGGGAGTGTTGATGGCTGGGGTGGGGGGCCCGCCCAGCTGCTGCTGCTGCTGCTGCTGCTGCATGTAATGCATGACGGCCTGCTGCTGCATGCGCTCCCGCTGCTCCTCCTGCTGCGCCTGCTCCCGCATGAGCTGCATGCGCAGCCCGATGCGCGACGCCATGGCGGCTGCTGGCACTGGCTCCCTGTGGACGAGGGGAGCAGACCTGTGAGCTGCCCGTCTTCCTCCCAGCACCAGGGCTCCGGGAGGGAGCGGGATGACGGGCTCACATCCACTGCACAGGACAAGACTGAGCCCCAGGGACCAGCAGTTGGCATAATGGCTATGTCACTGGACTCCCATGTAGTCGATTGCGGTTTGAGTCCCGGTTCAGGTGCTTAAACTCATGCCAGGCACGTGTGTGTGCATGCCCAAGATCCAAGAGGAGAATGGAGGAGAAGGGATTGCGGCGTGGCCATCCCCCCTGAGGGGTGATTTCTCACTTTCTGTCTCTCTGTCTCTCTGTCTGTCTGGCGAGCACACATGCCCTATAGCAAAAAAAAAAAAAAAAAAAATCTCAAAAAAAAAAAGACTGAGCCCCAAAGGGACAGGAGCTGCCAGGATCACTGAGCAGGCAGGTGACAGAGCTCAGAGCTGGCTATGACCCAGAGCTTCCTAGCTCCTGGTCCCCATCTGGGGATTCTCCTTCACTGATTGCAGCTGGGCAGCCCCCTCAAAGGCGGGGGCCACCTGGACCCCTCTCTGCCTCATGCCCACCTCTCGATCCCCCGAGTTCTGACCTTAGCCACATCCTCCTTACAGCACTGCGCCACCTCCAACTGGGGCCAGTGGTTCCACGTCTACGCTGGGCTCTCGAGGGAGCCTCAGGCTCAGAATCCCTCCCGGTGTCCTGTCCCACAGTGTTCACTTGCCACTCAGCAAGGAGATGAGTCCTGTCTGACCCACGTCAGATCCCGCCCCTCCCAAGGCGCAGAACTCTCCACGGCCCCTACTTCACTCAGTAAAAACCCAACTCCTCCCCGAGGCCCAGAGGCCCTGTATGATCTGCCCCGCCTCTTTCCCCTCTGCCCCCGTCCTCCCCCTTGCTCCATGCACTCCAGCCTCTTAGCAATCCCTCAAACACCCCAGGCATGCTCTCCCCTCAGGCCCCGTGCTATACTTCCTGCCTGGAATGCTCTCCCCCAGGCACCATCAGGGCTCACTCCTTCACCTCCTCCAGCCTGGGATGTCACCTTACAGAGACTTGCCACGATGACCCCATGAAAGCTGCATAGCCCCCCAACACGCACACTCCCTATGCCCCTTCCCTCCTCTCTCCTCTCACGGCTTATCGTCATCTTACACAGTGTGGTCTGTGCTCATTTCAGTCACTGTCTCTTCCTCGGAATGCAAACCCGCCTGAGGGTAGGCATATTTGTCTGCCTTCCTCACGGTGAACCTTCAGCTAGCCTAGGGCCTGGGCGCCATGCCGGGTGAATGTGTGAAGGGGATGGATATTATTTATGAGCCAGAGACTGAGAGCCAGGAAGTCTACAGTCTAGTAAAGAGGAGAGGCAGGTCTGCAGACACTCCTAACCCTGTGCGGGAAGGGCTCCTTCAGGGCACCCAGTGTTGCCAGGGCCCAGAGGGGACCTTCTACCCACCCTGATGGCCTGCGGGTCCCAGTGGGATGGGTGTGGCCTAGGTGTGCAAGCCTGGTCTGGAAGGGGCGTGGGGACAGGACGCGAGGAGTTCTGCAGCCGGGCCCACTCTGTCCCCTGCTTGCTGAGTGACCCTGCACACATCCCTCCCCGGTCTGAGCCTCCCTCTCCCCTTGCAGAAAATGAAACGGTTAGACTCAGTGAGTCCTGAGAACCCCTTCAGCTGGACGGGCTGAGAGGTCCCCTGGGAATGTCCTAGGCTCCGTGAGGATCCTGCCAGTGGCTGGAGGGTCCCATCTTGGGAATATTGCAAGAGGCAGTGTGACCTCATGGTTGAACAAGGACTTTCAAACAGAGCAAACATAGGCTTCAATCCCGGTTCTGTCCCTTTGCTGTGTGGCCTTGGGCAAGTCACTTAACCTCTCTGACACTCAGTTTCCTCATCCGTAAACAGTTTTGGCTCCGGAAGACTTGGTGATCGTCGTGCACGGTGCGCAGTGCCAGGTAGGCTGCGTGAGTGTGAGGAGAACACGCGTGAGGCTGGCCAGCAGTGCAGACCAGAGGCCAGCGCCGTATGCCAAGGCTCTGAGAACGAGCCCAGACCTCTGGGGCAGAGGAAAGCAGCACAGGCAGGCGTGTCCCGCCGGCTGCCAGAGAGCAGACTAGGGAGCACTAGCCCAAGGTACTGGCAAGTCCTCCATGGCAATCACCAGGTCACAGGCATAAATGCAAGTTTTTATTATTTGGGCATTTATGCATTTATGTCTGTGATCTGGTGATTGTTCCAAGCACTTGTACCGTGAACAGCCCTAAGAGGTGGTGTTGGCTGTCGACAAGGAGAAACAGAGGCACCGAGAGGTTAAGCATCTTTTTTTTTTTTTTGAGAGGTTTTTGGTATAGGGCGCGTGCGGTCACCGGAAAGACAGAGAGACAGAGAGATAGAAAGCAAGAAATCAAGGGAGGTGGACACCACAGTCCCTTCTCCTCCATTCTCCTCTCGGGATCTTGGGCACACACGCACACGCGCCCGGCGTGAGTTTAAGCCACCGGGTCCAGGATTTGAACTGCGGTGGACTACATGGGAGTCCAGCGACATAGCCATTATGCCAACTGCTGGTCCCAGGTTAAGCATCTTGCGGAGGGAACAGTGCTGGGCTCCATCCCAGCCAGTCTATCCCCGCAGTTGCAGAGGGGAGGGTCTCCATGCAGAGCTGGGAAGGAGCTCATCCCAGGCCACACGGCTGCTTGATCTAGGGCCAGGAATGGAGCCCAGGACACCAGGCTTCCAACCAGGGCCCCTCCCGCCA